GATGATCCGCGCAAAGGCGGGCGAGTACATGGATCGTGCGGAGAAGCTCAAGAACCATCTCGCTACTCTAGATAATCGAAAAAAGCCGAGTGCGGTGGGCGCTAACGGCAAGGTGGCGCAGGGGAGTGGGAAGGGAGGGTATGTACATGTCTGCCGACATCGCCTTGCGATTGGTTGTGTCACAGAGAACATTGTGTGCTGACAATACTTGTTTGGTGATTTAGAAACCAGGACGAAGATGGCGAGGACGCCGACTCGAAGAAGCTACGGTCCGCCCTTGCTGGGGCGATCTTGTCGGATAAACCCAACGTGCAGTGGGAGGATGTTGCCGGTCTGGAGAGCGCAAAGGAGGCATTGAAGGAAGCGGTCATTCTGCCTATTAAGTTCCCACATCTCTTCACGGGGAAGCGTCAACCCTGGAAGGGTATCCTGCTGTATGGGCCCCCGGGTACGGGAAAGTCATATCTCGCCAAGGCTGTTGCGACAGAGGCAAACAGCACGTTCTTCAGTGTCAGTAGTAGTGACTTGGTGTCGAAGTGGATGGGTGAGAGTGAAAGGTATGGATACCTTAGGGATCTTATGCTGCCACATGTTGGTTCCTAGAGCTAACATACCCACCTCTACAGACTCGTGAAGCAGCTCTTCAACATGGCCCGAGAAAACAAGCCGGCGATTATTTTCATTGACGAAGTCGACGCGCTCTGCGGTCCTCGTGGAGAAGGTGAATCGGAGGCATCTCGTCGTATCAAGACGGAATTGCTCGTTCAGATGGACGGTGTAGGCAAAGACTCAAAGGGTGTCCTGATCCTCGGCGCAACAAACATTCCCTGGCAATTGGATGCCGCCATTCGTCGTCGGTTCCAACGTCGAGTCCACATCAGTCTCCCCGATATCAATGCACGAATGAAGATGTTCATGCTGGCTGTCGGCTCCACACCCTGCGAATTGACGCAAGCCGACTACCGCACCCTGGCGGAGATGAGCGAAGGCTACTCCGGTAGCGATATCAGTATTGCTGTCCAGGATGCGCTGATGCAACCCATCCGCAAGATCCAAACAGCAACACACTACAAGAAGGTGAGCCAGCTATTTTCCCACCATCCATCCATACAAAAGAGAAGAGCATACCACTAACCACGAAAACCAGGTCATCCTCGACGGCGCCGAAAAGCTAACCCCCTGCTCACCGGGCGACCAAGGCGCAATGGAAATGTCATGGACCACCGTAGAAGCCGACCAGCTCCTGGAGCCCCCGCTTGTCCTGAAAGACTTCATCAAGGCGGTCCGCAACTCCCGACCAACCGTCAGTCAAGAAGACCTGCAACGAAACTCCGAATGGACCAAGGAATTCGGCAGCGAGGGTGCTTAATTCAATCCTTCATTCTACTGTTCACACATCCATCTTTTCTCCATCTAGAAGAAGACAAACGAGTCCATGCGTCCTCCCTCTCGTTGTGTCTCATCACGACCCGATAGAATCAACCAGGCTCGCATAAAATCAAGCCTTCGTTCTCATCTGTCCCTGTCATGGATCCAGGTTTCCTCTTTCCCCCATCCCGATATTGGTTCGATGAACATGAGTTTGGAATGCATGCTTGGGTTTCAGGTGCTCAATTGGAATGAACGAACGAACGAAAGAGAAGAAAAGAAAAATCCACGACCCCACACACACACACACACATACGTTACACCATCGAAATGCTTCTTACGACTTTATCCCATCATCTTTTTCTTTTCTATTCCTCCTATTTTTTCCTCTCACCTTCCATCTCGGTGTTAGGCAAACTCTGTTTTTTATCATTGTGCAGCAAGGCGAGGCGTTAATTTAAAGTCCACTGTTTTTCTATTTCTCTTCCCGTTTACTTAACTACATGACGAGCTCGGTGTGGAATGAAATGAATGTCGGCTGGAAATCCAATTCTTACGTTATGTGCGTATAGACTAAGTAGCCTTTGTGGTAAGTCTTTATTAATTGTTTTCCTGAGGGTTGTTGACCGAAACCACACCCACTACTGGTAGACAATAACCATAGAATCAAAGTTAGGCTCAGACATATCTCATTAACCATTCAATCTAACCATCCAGAACCAACATAACTAAGAATAAGAGTATATGTGTGAGGGATCCAATGTCCCTGGGGTTGCAACTACACAAACACAGAGTGGGTAGCTAGTAGGTACAGTACCAACGACAATTCCTTTCACAATCCAACCTAGGAGAGGACAACGCCTTAAGACACATCCATCGAAATAACGCCGGGGAATCTTCTCAACGAACCCAAAAGAAAATGCAAAATCATTGGAAAACAATGGGGGGTAGCCCCAGTCAAAGGAAAAGAGGGAAGGGAGGAAGAGCGAAAGAGGCTCGACATAAGACTGTTCGAAAGGGCGATCAGGATTTACTGTATGAAGCGTCTCGCCTCTTCAGCACCTCGTTCTTCGCCCGTCTGAGACCCTCACCAAGCTTCTTCGTCTTCTTCCAGTCTTGGCACATCCTTTGCATGCGGACGACGGCCCTGACCATGGAGACGGCAGTTTTCAACTTGGATTGGGGAGTGCGGCTCTTGTTGCGGTCACGGGATTTGACGCCCATGTCGGAGATCATGCGGAGATCAGCTTCGTTGCTGTTGGAAGGAGGATGTTAGTTAAACCATTATACAGTAATGGTAGTTGTAGAAATGAGGGAACTAACCAGGCAACCCGAACACGCTCGCCAAGTTCCATCAAGCCCTTACTCCAAGCCAGGTCACGGCGGAACTTCTCTTCACGCTTTAGTCGCGCACGAAGCCAGATAATTTCCTTGCCTAGACCGAGCATCTCCTTCTCATGCCTTGTCTTACTGCTCTCGCTCTTTGTCCCCATCTTCTCCACAAGATGGTCATATCGTTCTTGCAGGGCTTCCAGCTCCTTCAATGCCGATTCAGCCTTTCTAGCACAGAATGAACGCTCATCACGGATCCTGCGCATTTGCGCCTTGAGCTCGGCCATACGGGCCTCTCGCTCTGACACCTTGAGCGCGAGCGATTCAGCCTCCAGAGTCGATGATTTGAGTAGCTCATGAAGATCACGCTGGTCTTCTTCTCTCATTGCGGCTCTTTCAAGATCGCGATTCTTCGATTTGACCTCCCGTAGCGTTCGGTGTGCCTCAGACAGCTGTTTCCGTAGGTTCCGGAGCTCATCATGGAGTTTGTTGGAGGGTGAAGAGGAGGGTGAGTGGGATTCGTATTTCTTCATAATCGCATCGTGCAGTTCTTTCTCCAATTCAGCAAGCCGTGCTTTGTAACTTCTGACGGACGACTTCTGGTCGGCTTCGCGCTGCAGCAACGTCTTCTCACGCTTCCGAGCCTCGTCCAGACTATGACGAAGCATTGAGACATCTCCATTTGCAGTCGAATGTTCGTTCTCAGCATGTGGCTGCTGCTGAAGGAGGTTCTCAAGCTCTTGTATGCGTCTTTCGTAACGTTGAGCCTTGCTCTTTGTCAATGCAAGCTCGCGATCCCTTCCACCCGAAGCCGTGTGTAGCTTATCGTGAAGTTGGTCGATTTCGGCAGACAGACGGTTCTCTTCCAGGGCAGCCCGCTCGATCTCAGCACTTAGCTGCTTTTCTAGCGTTTCCTTGGCTTCCAACAACGAAGTTCTGTCCTCCCTGAGGCGTCTTACCTCGCCTTCAAGCCGTAGAACGGATTTTCGGAGATCGACCTTTTCCTTATCGAAACGCGTCGTGTCGTCAACTTGATTTTGGGCCTGATCCAGTTGGACCTGAAGCTCATCGCGTTCAGTCTCAATCTCAGCAGCAGAAGTCCGCAAGTCATGTAATTCAACATGAGCATTAGCCAGCTGATCACGGAGTCTCTGTTTCTCGTTGATGAGCTTCTGGATTTGACTGTCGTGTTCTGCAGACCCTTTCTGTGTTCGGCCCTTGGTATACTCCTGTTCTTCCTCCAAGCTTGATTGTAGGACAACAACTTCATCCTCCAGAGCCTGGATCTTTTCTTGAAGCGCTGCCTCTGAGCGTCTAACAATTCTCAAGTCCTCCTTGAGAGAAAGGATTTCATTCCGCTGTTCATCGATAATCTCCCGTTTTGATGTCAGGTCATCGTTCAGTTCTTTGACCTGTCGGCTCAAAACAGCCTCCGAATTGAAGTGGCGCGTCTTTTCGCTATCGATGACTTCTTGCAGTTTCATCTCCTTTCCGGACAGAGTATGTTCGACTTGCTCTAGCTTTTCAATTGTGCGCTTGAAACCAGCTGCCTGATCCTCAGCCCTGTCCTTCTGCAACTGCAAGGCACGCCTGGCGCTCTCCCACCTGTCTTGCTCGAGCGCAAATTGGCCTTCCTTGTCTTCGATTTCGTGGTGGAGAGCCTCAATCTCTTCTTGAAGTCTCTCGACTTCTTCCTTGTAGTGATTACGGACAGTATTTGTATTGTCTAGCGCATGGTGATGCTCTTCCTCCAAGGTTTGTTGTAGCTCCTTAATCTTAGACTGCGCTCGCGCCAGCTCCTGCTGCAGGCCACCGGACTCATCCGTCAATGCATGGTGTCGGGTTTGTAGGAGTTCTTTCTCCTCCGCTTTGCGTTGAACTTCGTCGAGTGCTTCCTGTAATTGGGCGGAGATCCTGTCATATTCCTGTTGGGCTAAGTCTCGCTCGTGTCTGGCTTGCGCAGCATCATCCTGAAGCTTCCGCTCCTTATCGTTCATCTGTTGCTGAGATTCCCGGTATCGCTCCTCCACTCGGGCTTCGTGATCAGATCGCGCTTCGATATCTTTCTTCAAAGCGTTGTTCTCTTGTTGGAGCTCACGAAGCTCCTCCTCCAACTTACTTGCCTTCTCCTCCAGCTGGCGTGTCAGTCCACTTGTACTGATAGACTTGTTCGCCATCTCATCGTGCAACTCTTGGAGATCTTTCTGAGCCCGGTCCTTCTCCATGGCGGCTTGGCTTGCGGCATCCCTCGCTTCTCTTGCATCAGACTTTGCCTGATCCAGCGACTCTTGTAGCTCTTCCATCTGCTCCTTCGCACGTTGCAGTTCTGATTCCAGCTCAGTGAGTGCATCGCGTTCCTTGCCGTCTCTGTCCTTCAATTCCTCGATCTCTTCGTCGCGTTCCTCGATAGCCCGATCCCGCTCTCGTACCGACGCCTCGAGGTCTTCGACTTCGTCACGGAGTTTCTCCATTTCTTGAGATTGGCTGTCCTTGGCGTCCCTCAAATCCTCCTGGAGCTCCCTGATTTGGTTGTCTCTCGATTCAATCTCTTCCCGCATCAAATCCATTTCGCGCTGTATCGTATCGTCGGTCGGTCTTCCCCGCGCTTTCTCCCTGAGCTCCTGAAATTGTATGCGGTACGATTCGAGGTCGCGTTCAGCCTGCTGAAGGCTCTTCTTGTAGCGTGAGATGTCGCGTTGCATCGTTAATTTCGAGACCTTTAGCTCTGTGTTTTCCTTGAGTGCTGCTTGGTTGTAAGCGGGTCCGGCCTTTTCCAGTTGCTCCTGCAAGAAGTGAATCTTCAATTTAAGACCGAAATTATCCTTGTCTAATTGATCGATCATCTATTGCTGTTAGCAAAGTTTCCTGGTGACAAAAGTCGTTTATTCACCTTCTCCTGTTCCTTCAATGTCATGTTATTTCCCTCATTAAGGACACCACCGTTCCTTGACAACCCTGGAAGCGGTGTGCTCTGCACGCTGCTGCTTGCAACCTGCGGGATAGGAGTGGGCTGATCGTCAGTCGCGTCCTCCTCATCAATATCGGTCATTTCCATTCCAGGCAAGCCCGGCGTGTTGCCATTGCTCAAATAACTCCTGCCTATATGTCCTGGGGTCTTCGGTCCGCGCGTCGTAGACATATTTCGCAAATAATTGTTCTTCGTGGCACTCCTCATAAGAGGCGTGAATTCACCCTTTGGAGGCGCTGCGGTAGGAAGCTGATGTCGACTATTTAACGCGCTTCTTGTCGATTTGGAAGCTGCGCCTGCACGCGGCGTATGAGTCTTGAAACTCCCGGAAGTCCGCCTTCGACCGTCACCAAGACCTTTAAGAAGGTCATCATCCTTGGAAGGCGTAGCAAACGAATTTTCCACTGAGTCGAGTGCCGTCAAATTGGGTCGTCCCACGCTGCGATAGCCGGTCAAGTAAGTCGCGTTTCCGTCGACTTCGGTGCGCGGCGTGTCGATGTACGGATACGCCATGGTCGACGGGTATAACGCGGGGTTATAGTGCTGAGAATTGGTGTGAGCAGTGTGTGGGAAGGAGCGAAGGCCATTCAATGGGAAACCATCGCCGACAACACCACTGGAAATCGGGGGGAACGCGGCGGAGGGGACTGACAATCTAAGGTAGTACTGGAAATGCGATGCGATACGGGACGTGTTTTGGGCGGTGAGGCCTCAAGCCCTCGTTCTTGTTGACATCTAGCCCAACGCGACCTAGCGCCCGGTCACGGGGCCCGCGGCCAAGCAATTCGCCGCGTCTCGTCCGGTATGAAGTCATGCCGTAATTTATTTCAAAGTTCTTATGATCGAAGAAGTTAGTTGAATTGCTGCACACAGCAGCCTGCAAACTGTTATAAACAGACACTGTGCCTGCTGCAAGTATTCGCAATATGGCACCCATGTCGGAGGAGGATCTGGAGTGGTTCAAGTCCACTTTCCACCCCATTCCCAAGCCGGAGATCCCTGACGATAGTGTCGATTATTCTCTTTACTATATTCCTTCCAGCCCCGCCCCCGCTGTCGTCGACGAAGTCGCTGAAACACGAGCGCGATTGGTAGAGGTGCAACGTACTTCTGCAGAATTGGTAAAAGACCTGCTAAAGGACTATATCTGGCAACGCGAAAGCTTTCGGCTGGAAATCACGAAAGATGATGGTGCGCAACGTTCATTCATTATACTGAATGCTTGTTCCAGCCACTAACAGATACCTAGGAGTCACCTCTTTGCACGGGCGCACCAACTTCGGCGATTCAATTGAGGACGAGTGGGTTATCGTGTATCTGTTGCGCGAGTTGACCAAGAAACACAAAAATGTCTGGGCGAAAGCTGTGGATGGTGACGGTCAGTTCCTTTTGGTGGAAGCTGCCGCCACGCTACCTGCTTGGCTGGAACCTGAGGTAGCAGATAACAGAGTCAGTGGCACCTCCGGTATGATGTCTGTTATGACGCAGGCTAATTCCCTCCCAGGTCTGGATCAATCAAGGTCAGCTTGTCATAATCAAGCCCAAGAACGATAAGAAAGATAGAGTGACGGAAAAGATCTCGCTATCGGATGCAAAGAAGATCATCATGGAGGAGCCGGCACGTCTGATGAGGTCTACCATGATTCAGGAGGAGGCGTTCTACCGTTTGCGTAACTATCCCCAGCAGATCAACGAAAACCTTCACTCTGCGTTCGTGACCATCCCTCGCAAAGTTGCCTTCCTACTTCATCAGAAACCCGCATATATCTCTGCCGCTGTGGAAGCCTTCTATCTGCGCGACCCGATTGCACTGCGTCCTCTTCGATCCAAGGATACCGACAGCTTCATCTTCAAGCCTGAGGATTTCGTCACCGTGAGCGTCCGCTTCACGCGAGTTGGATATGCGCAGCTCAAAAGCCAGGACTTTCCAGTACCGAAGTCATGGAGCGATAAACTTCCCACGACAGATGATCAGAAAGCATATGATCGGGCCGAGATAGGCATGAAGTTGGCTTGTGGATTTGAGATGCTTCTTACGGATCCTCAGAATCAAGACAAGGCGGCCGTCCGAGAAATGAAGCTTATCCTGGAAGATCTGGACACTGGCGATGAACAACTGCCCACAGACAAGGATATCGAAACCTGGGACAAGCGACAAGATGACGAGAAGTGGCTCGACATCAGCTTTGAAGACTTAGATCGAGAGCTCAAAGGCAAGGGGAAAGACAAAGACGGCAGACCGAGCGCTGAGGGTACCTTTGGTGATGCGAACGCGCAAGAAAATCTTCAGCGTATTGTGGCGCAATTCGAGAAGTTCTTGAATGATGATGCGGCTGGCTTCGAAGGAGCGGAATTCTTTGATGACTATGGCACTGACACCGATGATGACGATAATGATGAGGATGAGATGAGCAGTGACGGTGAAGATAAAGAGGCTTCGTTTGACGAAGAGGAATTTTCGAGGATGATGAAGGAGATGATGGGAATGCCATCAGGCGGTTCTGGTCTGCCGGGCTCGTCTCGGCCTTCGAAGCCTCGGGGTCGAGTGGAGGAACTGGATAGCGAATCCGAGGATGACACGGAGCAGATCAAGGAGCTTTCGAGGCAAATGGAGGCAGAATTAAAAGGCACGGGAGTGCTTGATCTCAATCGCAAGCCCAAGGCAGCCGGTGACAAGCAGACTTTGGCTGATACAAAGTCGGGAGAAGCAGATGACGATGACCTACCTGAACTGGATGAGGAAGACATTGACATCAACTTTGCGAAAAACCTTCTCGAAAGTCTTCAGGGCCAAGGTGGTGCGGCTGGCCCGGCGGGAAACATGCTTTCTATGATGAACTTGGCTATGCCCAAGGACGATCGCCACCGCTGATACTGCGACTATAAATGACGAGAATACCAATAATGTCCCGGGTTGACTGTCAACGACAATATGAAGTATGGCCAGTCGCTAACGTATGGTCCTTCAATGGTTCGTCACCAGACGAGATGACCTCACATACCTCTGCCAGACAAGAGGGCAGGTACTTCCCTACCGTCGTACTATGCTTAGGGTCCTGGGAAGCTGAACGCTTGCTGTGAGGAGCTCGGATCGAGCCCTATATAATTCAGCCTGCCAACGTAAATCTAATGAAGGCTCAGCTGGTGTGCAAAGCGAGGTCAAATGTGACCTAGAAGTACGTGCTCACTGTCTAGGAAAGCTGGTCATTAGACATTTTTCAAATGAAACCACTCCTTACTTCCCATGGGACTGGCTGCTCTCATGGAGCTGTATCGGTGTTATATCGGACATGATAGAATATAGGTGCCGAAATTTCAGGGAACCATGGACATACTGGATACTGTATATAGTTACTACTCTTATAACATTCTGAAGACAGCCTGATGGAGTGATTGCATCGCACAGTAGTAGTCCTAGTATTAACCCCACATACTAGTACTGTAGTATATATATACAACTCAGACACTTACTGGTGTTGGACTCATTTGCTGAAGAATCTAGTACTTTTACTAACATCATGTCCATCACCCCATGCCAGATTCAGCGTCATACTAGTATACCATCAATTGATGAAGCCACCACCATGATGATGCTGTAGTACGCTTGTCACCATATAGTAACTGCCTGACAAGGGATCTTCTTTCAGCGTCCCCGATAAGCCCGATAAGAGGTAGAAGGCCTGCCGATAAGCCCCCCGTGTCGATCACGTGGCGGCGTTATCGGCCGGGCTGGCTCGTACTTCCCCTCGTTGGGCTTCTTCCCCCTCTTCTTTCCCCTCTCTCATTTGCCTCTCTCTTGCTGCCTTTTCCGTGGACTCTCACCTTCTGGGCGGATCCCTGGCACTGGACTGTACGTTACTGCTGGTCTCTTCGTTCAACATCTGGTCCATCTCATCTCAAGTCCCATCGGACCTGTTGTGCTGCAAGTAGCCTTCTGGTGCCGGATTCCCCCGGTCAAGCCGAGCAACCGGGTGCCTGTCTAGTGGCAGAACTCCTAGGCTGTGACGAACAGACCTCAAATCGACATCGCTGTTTCTATACATATTCATTGAAAGTCCTGACTCCGTGACTCTTTATCTAAGCAAATATACATCTGGATATAAAGAATGGCCACCCCGGCTCAATGCTACTACTGTTTCGAGACCCTTGCTGCCTCCTATAGGCGCAGAGAACCAATCAGCCTTGCGTCTGTGGAAGAGCTCTGGGAACGACACGAACAATATAAGAAGCTCGCCGCGTTAGATGAGGATGACGATTCGCAATTCGTAGATGATGACGAGAACACCGCGCCACTCTCTGGGAAAAGCAGTCGCTCCCAGAAAATCAAAGTACCCCGAGTCAGCCGACTTCAGTCTGGCTCGAGCTCCTCTACAACACAATCTCTCGCGTCTACCAACTCATCGCAGTCTGTCCTGTCAAGCTCAACCTCAGTCACGACACCCAGTTCCTTGTCAGACACGGCCAGTGGCAAGCCGAGAGAGGACAAATATCCTCTGTTTGTAACATGGAATACTGTTTCGAAACACGGCCACAAATCGCTCCGAGGCTGCATTGGCACATTTGAGGCGCAGGAGCTTGCCGAGGGCCTGAAATCCTACGCGCTCACATCGTACGTATACCCCTTTCATTATCCATGAGACCGGGCCTTTCCACCTACACCTTGGCAAGGCTCGCGCATGCTAACCACCCACAGCGCATTTGATGACACTCGGTTTTCCCCCATTCCAGAGTCTCTTCTGCCATCTCTCTCTTGCTCATTGACGCTGCTCGGGTCTTTCGAGCCATGCACCAACGCTCTGGACTGGATCCTCGGGGTGCATGGCCTTCGCATCTCCTTCATTCATCGCGGCAGACGCTATGGCGCAACCTACCTCCCTGATGTCGCGGTCGAGCAGGGTTGGACTAAAGAAGAGACCGTCAACAGCCTGATGCACAAAGCAGGCTGGGATGGGCCCTCCGAGAGCGTGGCGAGACGGTTTTTGCGAGGCAGCAGCAATGCTGGTCATGGCGCTGCCGCCGCAACCAAGCCATGGGAGCAGGTCTCCGATTTTCGAGCTGTCAAGTACCAGGGCCTCAAGGCCAGCAGCAGCTACGCGGAATGGCAAGAATGGCGCCAATGGGTCCTCTCGCTAGATGATGGGAGCCAACAGCTTCTGAGTTGACGAGCCAACCAATGATTCCATTCAACCTGGATGTTTAATGATGCGATGGCGTTAATGAGACGGAAGGCGTTTTTGTCACTTTTGGTTATTTTATGCATTTGGGACATATTTGCCACATGCCATGTAAACAGCGAAACCACGTACACGAACCGTTTGTGTGGTCATAATAATGGGAATATATGTATCTTTCGGTTAAGCGTGCTCATTTCGCGAATAGACCCCTTCGGTACTATATCCTGTAGCTCTCTGATATTGTGCACTGAAGTGCCCTGTGTGCTTGATGTCCAGCTACTAAGTTTAACCCACTCCTATTCACAGTACTAGACGTAATGTGGGCTCAATCTAGTTGAAGGATTAATCAATCCATCAATCAACCAATTACATCATTTGCTATAGCTACTACCAGGTATAAAAGAGAATCGAAAGGATCAAGACCGAAACATCTTTCTTTCGTCACAAAAACCACACCAGATAATGATCAGAATCCTTCCCCGTCAAGGGTAGTAAGCAGTGGATAGGATAATGATAAGAGAGAGGGCGTCAGCGAAAGGGAGCAAAGGTATATAAGCCTAGTAAGTAGTAGAAACAATCCCACAAAAAGTAATAACAATACGATGTATATATACTTATTACCAGCCCTTATTTCTTCCCAGTCCGACTCCACAACCCGGCAACCATTTCTTGGACTTTCCGCTCTTGAGCACGGATCTGCTCTTCCGTCTGACCACGAGCATTGGCACGACCGTCAATTTCCATGTCTCCGTCGTGGTCCCGTCGTTCTTCGATGACGTCGTTGCCGTTGACTCGTTCGGGCTTGGGGTCGACGCTCATCATGCCGTCCATCATTAGGCCGCCGCCTTCGCGAAGCTTGTTGATGGCGCGAACGGTATCGATGGCCTTGTGGAGGGTGCGACGGGCGTTGAAGTTCTTCTTGACGGTCGGGAGGAGATCTTCACCGGAGCCGAGCTTGTCGGCGGATGTGTCGTAGGGCGGGTTGACCCAGGCGTGTTGCAAGGCGTCGTGGGCTGTCATCCGAGCGCTAGGATCAATGGTTAGGCAACGCTTGATGAAGTCCCGTGCGTCGTGGGAAACGCCGCGCCAGTATTCGATGGGGGTGAAGGAGTAGTCTGCTGCAAGGATGGCCTGCATCTCTTCCAGGTTGGAGTCGCGGTCAAAGGGGGTGTAGCCGCATAGCAAGAAGTAGGTGATGACACCGATGGCCCAGATGTCTCTGTTGGGTGGTCGTTAGTATATGAAAATAGTAGTCGGATTCGCAGTTTGCCATGGCGAACAACGTACACTGGCTTTCCATGACCACTCTTCTTGAAGATCTCGGGCGCCATGTATCCCGGTGTACCGCACGTCGTTGTAAGAACATGGAACTGCTCCTCGTCCATGATCCTCGACAAACCAAAGTCCGCGATCAGTAGATCTGCATTATCCTCCGGAGTGCGGAAAAGAAGGTTCTCTGGCTTCAGGTCCCGATGCACGATGCCGTGGTCGTGCAGGTATGCCACAGCGGAAAGAATAGCACGAATAAGATCCGCAGCGTCAGATTCGTAGTAACTGCCCTTTCGGCAAATGCGATCGAAAAGCTCGCCACCAAGCGCAAGATCGGTCACCAGATACACTGTGAATTGCGAGGATAGTTAGTCCTCGACAACATTTGATACTGGACCCCACACCAGTCATGCACATACAGTTGTTCATAGTCTCAAAGTAATCGACCAAGGTCAGGATGTTCTGATGCCCCATCGACACCCTTTTTAGCACCGCGATCTCATTTCGAACCTATCATGATTACCCCCCATAATCCTTATCATTAGCCTTCCTGCTATATTTCGACTTTCTCCCCAGCCACACCTGGATCTTCATGAGGGTAAAGAAATACCATGTGCTCACGTCCAGCCATCAAGCGCTTGTTAATGACCTTGGCCGCATAGTAGTGGCCGGTGTCGATGTGCACACATTCCTTGACGACCGAGTAGGAGCCAGCTCCTAGGGTCTTTCCGGTCTTGTATCGGCAGGGCTGGACTTTCGGCCGTTGACCGGCTTGCGGTTGCGACGCCATTTATATATGATATTTTAGAAAAGCGACGGAATTGTGTTTCAGGGGTGGAGTTCGTAAGGGTGGACGGTCGATAGGGCCCGGGGTTTCAAGGCAGACGGGATAAGGGTGGTTCGGGCCTGCGTCTTCAGCCCCGCGGTCAGTATTAGATGGATAGACAAGATAGCGGATCCTGGACCCAATAACGGTGAGCCCCATCAGAAAATCGCTTACATACCTGCAGGAAGTGTGAAGGATTCACAGGCAAAAGTGAAACGTGCCAGGGTGATAGGCAGAAATAGGGACTGGGTTGTTCCGTCGCAATGGGACGATGTGGTGGAGTTCCGACTGCGGGGTTTTGGTTGCAGACAGCCGTTGGGCGGACACTGTTCAAAGTGGGGGGTGGTTATCAGAAGCCAGGTGAGGATGATGCTTCTGGGATATATCTACAGAAGAGAGAAACACGCTGCTAGCGATGCTGCCCTTCTGGGGGAAAGTGGGAAATAAAATTGATGGAGATCGGCGTGTTGAAGGGAAAGGAAAGTAAGTTGGGGTGACAGATCGGATTGTGTTGCGCCTGCCACAAACACACGTGCCGAGGTGCTAATCAAGTCTCATCCATGGATTGCGGGCACTTGGTCTCGTATATTTATAGAATGCGATTAATTGCGATATACACCGATCAGACGAATGTGATTCTTTCCCACACCCACTATGGAAGTAGGCAACAGGCCTAGGACTCTTATAAAATACATCTATGTATTTCTCAGATCGAAAACTCACTGTGGGGAGGTCCGGAGGTATTTCCCGACATCTTGAACAGCCCATAAATGAGGGCACTGGCACTGCTATAACAAGCGTCGTTTTGAGTTTCTTAGCAACATTTCACCCCCGAGCTAGATCCTATTATGCATACACTATGTATTGAAATGGAGTCAAGTTAATAACAATGCTATGTACGCCATACAAATGACCCTTGATCCCTTCCACAACGCCTATCCAATGTTGCTCCCCGGCCGCATGTATATATCGAAACCGAAGTGTATAAGAGTTACCGCGGGTATAGCCACCAACCATCAACGCTCAAAACGACAACAAGCAATCATGCAAGAACAAACACATGTTCACATCTGTGCAAGCACTTCTCCCACAACACTCTCTAACAACTTCAGCCCGTGGAACTTGGCCACGCTGTTCAAGACGTGCAGCTTCCTCTCAATCTCCTTCCGATCCATCGTTTCCACCCACACTCCACTGCAGGAGCAGTGCTCCATGAAGTCGCTGACCTTTAGCGTTCCGCATTTCGAGCACTTCAGGTCCTGTGTCTGCCACCCGACAATGTACCCCTGGATTTGACCAATCAAGATCTCTTCCTGTGCCAATCGGTCGTATTCCGTTTGGCAGAAGGGACAACGCCATGGCTTGGTCGAATTTTTACCAGCGTCAACTCCGGGCTCGGGCAATACATCTTCATCCCGACACAAATCCAGATCTCGGATCAGGCAGCATGAGCCGCAGGTGAGTTCTGGAATTTTGAGGCTCGCGCCGGGGTTCTCGAAGCGGCCTTCCTTGCTGAATTCTCGCACTTCGAACAGGGCGAGCAATTCGCGCCGCAGTAACCGGGTCTCCATAGTGGTCATCTTTGACAGACTAAGGACTTGCATGAGTAGTTTCACGAGTTCCAACACAGGGTTGCGCTTCTCTTCGTTAGGGTCCGACAATACACCAGGGAGGACAGGGAAGATGTAATCAGAGGCCAACTCCGGGTGAAGAAGCTCGTCGCGCTGCCGACGAATGAGACCAGTGATTTGCTTCTTCAGTGGCTTCGAAAACTTTTCTGCAAGCGCAGCTGAAACTTCCTGGCTATCCTCGTCACTGGGACGTCCAATTGGAATCTGCGTCAATCGGGGTGTGGAGTCGTTTGTATCCGGCCGTTTGAGACCGTGCATGAGTTCGATATACTCCACAACCCAGTCATGGAAAATAGTTTGCATGGGCGTGGGCAGTGTACGGTTGAGTTGCCAGTGCATGACCGTTTCCAGCTCTTGTTCATCGGACTCGACGACTTCTTGGCAACCTTTGCCACCGTAGTTATACTCGTCGTACCAAAGCAGGTAGTCCCAGTACTCCTTGATTTCAAGGTCGATGAAATGGAACGACGGGTTGGCTCGGATGGACTTGAGCACGTACTGACTGTATGCGTAGGCATTGCCCACCTCCGTTTTGGAGGTCTGGAGCAAGAGGCGGGTGGAGCTAGCAAAGATGACATTTGACCCAACGCGCCTGAATTCAGCCATCAGGCGCTGGAAAGATTTCCGTGACAGCATCCGCACGTAGTGATGCAAGGACCGATCATAGAGACATGAGACCGGACTCTCTACCCATCGGATCAAATGCTGCACCATAATATCTGCCATGTTGTTTCCGTCGCAAGCCTCAGTCCACCAGTGCTTGACCATCTCACGCAGCACAACCGCGCCGGCTGAAGCGAATGCCTTTTCGGAGTACAAGACACCGCCTCCGTTAGGGTCTGCAGATTGGCCGGACGAAGCCAGGAGTGTATCCGCACCCTCCATCTCGTTAATGATGGACGATGTGAGAATTGTGTTGATTGCCAAATTACGAACTTCCAACTCAATGCATACTGTGGTATACGCACTTGGAACATTCACCGATGGCATGGAGACTTTCTCAAGAGGACCAGAGATATCGTCCTTCTCATAGCCCGCATGATCAGGCCTTGGGTTCGAAGACCACCAGAGCACAACGTTGTTTTGTTGGAGCCGTCTGGCATACGAGATATCAATGAGGAAGCGAGGGTCATCGTTCTCCAAGTTGCAAAGAGGAACGTCACCGTATCTAGCTAGCAATGTCAAGTGTTGAATCCAGGCGGAGAGATAGAGGTAGTGAGTGACCAATCGTCTGGCAATGAAGGACTGCCACCCCAGTGGTGGGAGATCCATATCTGACACTTCCGGTTTGACCGGCAGTGTAGGGTACTCTCGAAGGATCGGAATATCATGGCACAGACGCTTCCTTTGTTGTGACTGGATGACCATAACAGCGGGCATGGTCTCTTCGGACTTGAACTTCTTGATCAAGTCTCCAACCTCCAGGTGGGCCTTTCTCCTAGTGGTCACTTGCGTAGTCCTGAAATGGATTTTCTCCTGATATTCGAAAGCAGTCTGTGACGGGTCTCCCTCCATGGTTTGCATTCTACGCGTGAGAAGTTCAGAATAGATCTTATCGAGGTTCGGAAGACCCTGAACATCCCGCGTGCGGTTCAGGATCACGACATGTGCCTCATTTTTCGTGCTGGAGAAAAGGGCGAAAATCTGCCTGTCCCCAGATGCGACATGATAGAGATAATGGAAGGCAAGTGGCGAGTCCAGAAGATACGGTTGCTCCGTCGTTGTCCGGCAAAGAGTCGAAAG